TGTGTGTGTGTGTGTGTGTGTGTGTGTGTGTGTGTGTGTGTGTGTGTTACTCTGTTGAGCTGAGAAAATAGGGTGACAGGAGGCAGGGTGAGAAGAAAGCCAGAGGGATGGTGAGAGGACTGGGAAGAAATATTGATTGACCCAAAAGGTTGGGTCCCCATTCCCCTCCCCACCTCAGTCACCTTGGATAGGAGCAGTGCCCTTTGCCAGCCCCAGGACTAAGTGGGAAGCTGGTCAAAAGCCAGTGCTCAGAGCTCCCCCAGGAAAGAACTGCTCTCCCCCTTCCCACTCCACTCCTGCCCCTATAGCCCTGCCTCTCCTCCAGTCTTCTTGCCTCACCATCCCTTTAATTTTCTCTTCCCTCTTTCCCTCTTTTCCCTCTTCCTCTTCTCTTCCTTCATTGGTTCTCTCCTTATCTCCCTCCCCATCCCTTTTCTTCTCCTCTTTTTTAATCTCCATGTTTTCTCCTCTTCTTCCATCTTTCCTTCTCCTCATCCTTTCTTGTCTCTCTACAGCTGGTGGCTGGAGGTCAGTTCCGGGTGGTCAAGGAGCCCCTGGGCTTCCTGAAGTTACTGGAATGGGTGAGTCCCTTTTGTGGAGAATTTCTAGAGGGATGAGGTTAAAGTGGGTTTGTATCTGGTTCCCAAGAGGGGGAATCCCAGTGAGGAGAGGAACAACTAATTTTGATCTGGCACAGACCCTTGGGAGAGGCTGAGGAGAAGGGGAGGCCCCAGTTAATCCACTCTCAACCTTGGTAGGCAGAGACATGGGAATAGAGGGTAGGGCTTGGCTTATCCTGGATTAGGAGAGGAGAGGGCCAAAGCATTGCTGAGCCATCTGCTACCTGCCTGGCCACCGACTGGGTGAGAGGAGGGAGGGAGAGAGAAGGCAGCTAACCGAAGCCAGGCAAAGATATGGAATTAAGATGCCGAGATTTCATCAAAGATGTTTGATAGTTTCTCGACATAGCCATGAATAAGACGGAGGGCTATGTGCCAGTGAAAGTCTACTTGGATGGGTTCACAGATGGTTAAATGGATAATGGATAATAATAATGGATAATAATGGATAAGTCCTAGTAGTGAACAATAGATCAAGGTAATTCTGGAGGGAGGAGGTCTCTGGTAGCAGCCCCTGGACTCCCCCTTCTATCTTGTTCTAGTCAGAAGTGATGGAGGAAGAGGATGTTGTAGAAATCTAGGGAGACCCCCCAGGAGGAGCAGGGGGGAGCTGGGGAGAGCATGGCTGGGGGAGCTGGTGTTTAAGGGAGGGTTGAAGAAGTAGGTGAACGGGGGAGGAGGCAGAGACAGAGAGGGAAAGAGAGACAGGAGAGGGGAGAGAGAAATCCTGACGTTCTGGGTTGGAATACGTGGCCACTGAGCTCCCTTTGAGGTTTTTTCAATAAGCCATGAAGATGTTGTTTATCAATTTGGGGTTCACCTTGAACTGGGAGAAGATAGAAGAATCAAGATTCAAAAATCATCACTGTGATGGGCTAGAAAGAGCCCAGCTTTGGAGTCCCAGGGCTTGGATTCAAATCCCACCTCAGTGGTTGTGAAGCCTCAGGGAAGTCCTTTTCCTTGTCACATGACACATTGGTGCTCCAGGTGACCTGAGGTCCCTTCTACCTCTTAATCCAGTGATCCCAAGATAATGAGCCAGGGCTACTAAAATGAACATTAACAGGGAGCCATGTAAAGTGATGTAAACCCAAACTCTCAAATGACCAGTTGGTGAAGCAGAGGATGAGGGAGACCTGCCTGGACTACCGTGTCAGGATGTGGAAAAGCTGGAATGTGTCCAGATGCATGGCTGAGTAAGGGATGAGGAGGAGCCAGGCCCTGTGAGGGTCAGAAGAGGAAGAGCCTAGAGAAGCTTTGGCATGGCCCTTCTAATCCTGTCTTCAAAGATTGGAAGGGCCAGCATGGAGATGTGGGGTCAGAGTTGTTCTCCTTGCCCCCAGAGGGCACAGAGGAGCCATGAGGGGGACTAAGAGATTCCCAGAGTCTCAGATGAGCCCTTTGGGTTTGTGACCTGACATCTAGCCAGACTGGCTGTGCCCTCGGGGGGTCAAGCAGAACAAAGCTAGGCCCTCTTCCTCTGCAGGCTAGCCAGTCCTTCACATCCACCTGTCTCCAAGCTCAACAATGGTCAGATGGCATGATCTTGAGGCCCCTCCCATCCTCTTTAGCCACCCCTGGACACACTCCAGCTTCTCGCTGTCCTCCCAGAACAAAATACAATCCTCTAGATGGGCTCTGAGCAGGGCAGAGGCCAGAGGCCAGAGGGACCCCTTCACATCCCGCAGTTTAGGCTCAAACCACCGTCATCCAACCAGGCTCTACCATCTTGGGCTTGGGAATCCAAGGAAGAGAGGATTTCTATGGCATTTGGTCTCATTAGCCTCAATCAGGTGCTCCGACCTGTCCAGATCTTTGTGGGTCCTCACGGCCTGTCTCCCATTCTGTTAGCTGTATCGCTCCCAGCTTGGTGCCATCTGCAGGTTTGCTAAGCGGACCAGCTAGGCCTTTATTCAATTCCCTGATAAAAACGTGAAGCTGTCCAGGGCCCAACACACATCCCTAGGGCAATCCAGTAGAGACTTCCTGCCAAGGTGACAGTGAACCTTTAATGAGCACACTTGGGCCATGCCATTTAAATGGTGCTGGATTCTCTTAACTGTCTGATCATCTGGCCCAAATCTTTCCATCTTCTCCACGAGAATAATACAAGAGATTGGATCGAGTATGTTGTTAAAATCTAGGCAAACTACCTCAACAACCTACCCCGCATTTCCCAGTTTAGTAACCTGAGGGGGAAAAAAAGTCAGCGCGCTCAGTGAGGCTTGCTGAAGCTGGGTCGGCCTCTGGGGTAGGCACTGCCTTTTGCTGATGTGGACCAGTCATCCTTTTAATGGCATATCCCAGGTAAAATCCCAAGGCCAGCTCAATGCTTTTATGGCATGCTATGGAATATTCATCTCCTACCGGCACAGGGAGGGCAGTTGGAGCTTGATAGAAGGAGGAACTTCTCAGCCATCTTGGTCATCCCATAGTGGATGACCTTCCTCATGGGCTATAGAGCACCCTTTACCAGATGGCTCCAAGTGGGCCGCTGATAGAGAATGTCGTAGCAAGGCTTTTGGCTCAAGTAGGGGTGACCTTCATTGACCCTCAAGGGCCCTTCCCACTTGGAGTGTCTGTGTGACTGTGTTTCTGTGTTTCTCTACTGCCCAAGGTCTTTGCCATTTTCGCCTTTGCTACTTGTGGTAGCTACACGGGGGAGCTAAAGCTCAGCGTGGAATGTGCCAACCGGAGCGAAAGCCAGCTCAGCATCGATGTGGAGTTTGCCTACCCTTTCAGGTGCCCGGGCTCCCCCAGACTCCTCAGGATTCCCAGAGGGAGACTTCTTCTATGCCAGGGGCCCCTAGACCTAAACCCCTCCAGACTCATAATCTCCAAATTCTGCATTGCTCAAATTCTGCCCCCTCCCAGCCCGTCCAAGAGCTGAAGAAAGCACAGGCCCTGGCTGGGGTCCTCTGGCCCTCCCTGAGCCTCACTCCCTTGGTGTCTTTTCCTGTCCCCATAGCTGTTCTTCCCTCTGTCTGGGCCCTTTCTTTTCTCTGTCTCTAGCCCTCTTTTCTGGTCTCCGCTATCTTTGCGCACTGCCTCTCCCTTCTCTTTGTTTGTAATCTCCAAGTCTACTCTCATCTCTACCACTCTCCTTTCTTTCTGTCTCTGCTCCATGGGGGCTGCTGGTTGGGACCTCCTGGGAGGGAAATGATGGCAATGGCCCAGAGCAGGGTGGGACCCCACCTGCAGCCTTTCTCATAGAAGAGTACAGGTGAGTCTGGGAAGCACCACAGCCTGTATTTGCCCCTGAATAGCCTGAGCTCTCTCTGTCTCTCTCTTTCTGTCTGTCTCTGTCTCTGTGTCTGTCTCTCTGTGTCTGTCTCTGTGTCTGTCTCTCTGTGTCTGTCTCTCTCTCTTCTCTCTCTCTCTCTTTCTCTCTCCCTCTCTCTCTGTCTCTGTCTCTCTGTCTCTCTCTGTCTCTGTCTCTCTCTGTCTCTGTCTCTTTCTGTCTCTCTCTCTCCCTCTTTCTGTCTCTGTCTGTCTCTCTCTCTGTCTGTCTGTCTGTCTCTCTCCGTCTCTCTCTCTCTCTCCCCGTCTCTCTCTCTCTCTCTCCCCTCCCCCCCTCTGTCTCTCTCTCCCCCCTCTCTGTCTCTCTCTGTCTCTGTCTCTTTCTGTCTCTCTCCCTCTTTCTGTCTCTGTCTCTCTCTCTGTCTGTCTGTCTCTCTCTCTCCGTCTCTCTCTCTCTCCCCCCGTCTCTCTCTCTCTCTCTTTCCCTCTCCCTCTCTCTCTGTCTCTGTCTCTCTCTGTCTCTGTCTCTTTCTGTCTCTCTCTCTCCCTCTTTCTGTCTCTGTCTGTCTCTCTCTCTGTCTGTCTGTCTCCGTCTCTCTCTCTCTCCCCCCC